GTCCACGGAGGCCAGCGGCGACAAGCTCACGTCCTCTGTGGGGCACTTGGAGGGCAGCGCTGTGCCTGGCAGCAGTGCCTCTGCGGGGACAGACCGTGGCTGTCAGCCCCACAGCACACACCAGAACAGCAGAATTGCTGTGCTCTGAGCCACTGAGGCCATGCAGATTGCACACAAAGCATTGGGAGAGCTCAGAAACATTCAGGCCAACCGGGCAGCATGACCCAGACCACTTGCTGAGTGGTGGGACGAAGAGGGACAGTGTCCTTTCCTAAGTAGAAAGCTCCAGGGCTGCCTCTGCCAAGCTTGGGTAGAAGCAAAGCTGACAGCTGGGTGGATCACAGAATATCCCAATTTGGAAGGGACTCACTTATAAAGATCATTGAGTCCAGCTACTTGGCACTGCATGATGTGAGCATGGAGGCCGGGCTGCCCCTAACACACAGCCAAGAGCTCAGTTCTGTGCTTCATGCAGCCCTTTTCGCTCATGCTCCTGGTCATGACAGTGTCCCCGCGCCACAGCCCCGGCACTGCCCTCATCCCATTCCCATCCCCATCTTGCTCACCAGCCAGCAGCATGTTCACATCCTGGACAGGATGCAGGAGCGGGGAGGCTCTCTGCTGCGATGAGCCAGGGGACAACTCTTCAGCAGGTGCCTTGAAGGGGCTCTTGACAGGGCTGCAGACCCCTGAGCTGTCCTCGGGGCAGAGGAACACATCGATGGGGCCCTGAGTGCTTTTCACAGAGACCTGGAAAGCCTGGGAACAAGAGGGACAGCTGGGACACGGAGTGCCAAGGCGGAGTTGTACCAAGGGCTGTGCAGACCCAAGGGGGGGACTGGGAAACTCACCTCTGCCGGGTCTGAGACTTGCAGCTGGGTCTCTGGGGGTGCCTTGATAACCATCACCATTTGCTCAGAAGGGTCCACGATGCTCCGGAGGTCCTGGCAGGTGACATAGGCTGCGGTGTGGTGGGTCAAGGAGCAGACACAGGGACACATTCACACACAAAACCCCAAACAGTGACTGTAGGTGCCGGTGGGGCTCCATTCCCTGCACCTCTCCAGCCCAGCCAGCCCCATCCTGGCCCCGCACCGAAGGATATTGCTGGTTGGAGGGATCCTCGGTGAGCAGCCGCAGCTGCACCGTGCACGTCTGGATGAGATCGTCCAGCTGCCGCTCAGCCGCCTGCAGATCCCGCAGCTCCTTCTCCAGCAGTCGCTGTCGGCTGGAAGCCCCCACGGCCACCTGGCTGCCCCTGGGATACACAGGGCCGTCACCCCCAGCACAAACATCCCAGTGCTGCCATCACCGCCTGACCTCAGGGCGGGACCCGACCACCAGCACTGCTCTGAGCTTTGCCCTCCCTCCTCCACCCTAACCCCAACCCCGGTGGCTCCTGTGTTTCCTCCCATCCTGGGGACATACAGCCACTGGATGTTGTTCTTGGACTTCTTGGTGATGAGCTGGATGCCCTCCAGGACATTGGTGATGTCGTAGATGCGCCTCTTCTGCACCTTCAGCACCTCAGCCGCCCAGTTGAGGTCCACCACACCATCGGGGGATTGGCTGAGCAGCTCCAGGAAGCGCTTGGTGGTGAGGTTCAGAGAGGTTTCATAGCGGGATTTCTCCCCGGGAGACTTTGTCCCTGTTGGGGACAGGTGCAGGATTCAGTTGCGGGGCCCAGGACAGCCCCAGCACCAACACCGCCACACCTTGCAGGTGAGCAGCACCCCGACATCTGCTGTCTGGGGGGGAAGCTCGGGGGATGGGCGCTGCGGGGCCCCACAACTGAGATCTGACAGCAAGCAGCCAGGCAAGGCCCGACGCTCCCAGGGGGACGGCAGATGGCAGAGGTGAAGCGGGAGGTGACGCGGCCCGTCATGAACGAAGGGACCGAGCCAGCACTGCGCCCGCAGCCGGCCGAGACGGCCGCACAGGGACGGCCGCGCCCGCAGCTCCGAGCTGGCAGCACAGCGGGGACGGCCGCGCCGTACCTCTGCCGGGGATCCGGGCCCTGCCGCGGGCCGCGGGCAGGCTCTCGGCTATGTACTGGTGATCCGTCTCCAAGTTCAGCTTCCGCTTCACCTGCGGGACAAGGCCTCCTCAGCAAGGGGAAGCGGAACACACCGC